CCAAGGTTGGCCTCAAACTCTGTATATAGCCTAGGATGACTTTGAACTACTGGTCTTCCTGTCTCCTCTTTCTACGTGTTGGGATAACAGGCATGCACCATCGTGCCCAGATTATGCAGTGCTGAGATCAAATCAAACCTTGGGCTTTTCCTCCATGCTAACAAGTACTCTACCAACAGAGTTATGCCCCTAACATGTTACCCATATGACTACATTGGGACCACTCCTCTCCAGACTAATGTCCCTACTCCCATCTCAAGATACTTTCTTTTTTAATATAAAGTAAAATATCTAAAGCCTTTGGAGATTTGGCATGTACTTCTTTGGGAAGTGGTTATTCTACAGATCACAAAATGTACCAGAAAAAGGTGTCAGACATTGGATCAATTAATATTACTCCAAAGTTAATTTAAAGTTGTAAAGAGACAATTCATTAAAAAGTTGGGCTAGTAGAATTTTAGACTCAGACACTATTCAATCACAATCTTTCCCCAGTGGGAGAAAAGCCAGCTTTAAGGAATCTTTCCTTGTTTGAGCTTCCACAATCTCTACAATGCTAACAGTAGTCTGATGAAGTGAACTTACTGGAAAAACAATGATGACAAAACATAAGAGATATCTAGAAAATAGTAAGTTACTATAATAAAAAAACACACTGATTTGAAAAAAATCAAAAGACAAGTGAGATGGTTCAGTGGTCAAGAACACTTGCTGCTCTTTCAGAGGGCTTGTTTGGTTGCCGGTACCTACATGGGAGAGCTTATAACTGCCTGTAACTCCAGCTCCAGGGACTTCAATCATCTCTTCTGGCTTCCATGGGTATCTGTACTCATTTCCATATACCCCACCCCAGATACACATCCATAACCATAAATAAAAATAAAATAAATCTTTAAGGAAACACACAGGACTAGGGAAATCAAATAAAAGCCAACAAATCAGGCTGTCAGAGTAGCTCAATACATAAAGTCACTTGTTTTCAAGCCTGGTGAACTATGTTTGATCTCCAAAACCTGCATGGTGGAAGGAAAGAACCAACTCCCACAAATTGTCCCTGGCCTTGACTTGTGGGGTGTGGTGGCTCACACACACACACACACACACACACAAATAAATGTAATTTTTTAAAGCTAACCAATCACTAAGTGGGTATTACTAATTTATGAAACTTTAAAGTTGTGCTTGAGCAATGGAACCAGGAAAAAGGACATAAGAGCTATTTGTCATAAGCCTTGTGCTTTATATAACTTATTATTTCAATTGTTATTAAACAAAATTGGGAACAACTCAACTGGTTATGAATGGTGACTTATTAAATAAATTTGGCACAACCACAGAACACAATGCTACTCCCACTATAACAAGGAAATATACTGATGAACATGACATAGTTGGATCTCAAGATAACTGCACCAAGGGAAAGAAGTAAGAATTAAAATAAAATAGTACTTAGCTCTCATGGAACACTGTCCTGTAGCTATGGCATAGTCATTGTCATTTTAATCAGATTATCTGTGGTTACCTACAGACAGGATCCAATCTGCTGAGGGTCCCCGATAGAAAGAGTGAGAGACCTGACCTGAGGTTACATCCACTCAGTCTGACCCTCCCAGTTGCACATAGACTTGGGAGGAGATATAGGGAGGTGACAAGTTAACTAGAGGGGCATTCCATCTGTGCGGCTTTTAGGAGGTTATCATCCACACTGGGGTGGAACTTCTCAGTAATGTGGCTGTGGAGATCACTTGTACTCCTGTCAGTAACTCCTCCCCTACACTACTGGAAGACAAGTGAACTCATGAATTCACCAAGAAGAACTTCAACAGAACCACTCCATTAGTCTGATGTCAGTACCCTGTGAAACACCTCCCCTACACTATTGTGATTAACCCAACTGAACTCATTGATTCGCCAAACACATTGATTCGGCAGAAACACTCCATGAGTCTGTTGTCAGGGCTCCATGTAGAGTAATGAGTATATGATTGCTCACAGCTCTGCAGAAAAAGTTAATGAAGCAATAGCAGGACCCATTCACATAAAACTCTTAAAAATGTAAACTTCACTGTACAAAAGAAGTAGATCAGTGTGGGACAGAGAGATGGATCAGAAGGCAAATCTGCTTACCAAGCAAGCCCAGTGACCTGAGTTCAATCCCAGAACCCACATAGAGATGGAAGGAGAAAACAAAGTCTACAAAATTGTCCTCTGATAGTCACACATGCATCGCAGCATCCTCCCCACCCCCCAACACCACACATACAATATTTACAAATAAAATAAGTTTAAAGGGTTTATAGACATAGCTCACCATTAAGAACATTTTCTTGGTCATTCAGAAGACCAGAATTCAGCTCACAGAATCTACGTCAGATGTCTCCTAACTGCCTGTAGCTACAGCTCTAGGAGACCAATGATTTCTAGCTTCTGCGGTGGGCACCCGCACATACTTGGCATACTCATACACAGGCGCACACACGCGCGCGCGTGCGCGCACACACACACACACACACACACACACACAATCACAAATGAAAATAATATATTGAAAGTAAATAAATAAGTTTAAAAGTAGATCAGTAGTAGCTCCTTGGGGCAAAGGGCATTGGTTGGGTGATGAAAATGATCTGCATGTTAACTCTGAAGGAAGAGCATGGGAAACAGCATCTGTAATCCAGCACTTGGGGAGCTGAGTCGGAAGAACCATGAGTCTCTGGCCAGCCTGGTCTACCTACAGAGACCTGTTTAAAAAAAAAAAAAAACCCAAAACAAAAACCCCCACTTCATTGAATTATATATTGTAGCAGATTCCATTTACATATGTAATATGTAAATCAATAAAATAATCTCTTAGAACCTTGACTCCTTTCAATAATAAATTTGTATGTAGGGACATGGTTAGAACACAGCCTGTCCACCTTCTCCTGAGCCCCACAGTTCTTCCAGACGCTTATACTAACTCGTACACCGCAAACCCACTTCCCAAGTGAGAGTTCATTTCCTTTACCACAACCTAGGTGTAGATGCTTACCTAGTGCTGCTTGTTGTTAATTTCTTTTCTGTGGGTTCTGATTTGGGATATAAGTTCTAGCTGTGGAGCCCAGACTGGCCTCAAATAGTCTATATAGTCCAGTCTTGCCTCAAACTTGCAGTTTCCCTGCCTCCACCTTCTGAATTGTGGAATTCACACACCACCATTCATGAACAGCCTGCTTACTTCTATAGGAAGGTAATACTTCTCTCATCTCTCTAGCAAAACAGCGAAGTCTCAAATACTCATCCTTATCACACTGAATAGGCACACTACAAAGACTGTGTTTGTTACTTTTCTCACTGTCTTGACAGAATATCTGATAGAAACAAATCAAGGAGTCAGGGGATCTAGTTCTCATAGCAGAAAAGCATGGTGGAGCCATGCTTTTCATATCAAGTCAAACAAGAAGCAGAGTAAGGGAAGGGACTTATGACCACATATAACCTACAAAGCACACCGCCACCTAGACACAGAGGGAGTTCACACACTTGCCATCGTGACATAATTCATATTCAAGCCATTGCAACTATTTAACTGTATATGATCCTGCCATATGGTGATGCCTTGACATGAGGATTCTCTTCATGCACAGACTGCTGTATTTGTCTTTACCATGTTTGGTAATAAATCCTCTTTATATCTTTGTATTCTGTTCCATTCATTATAAACCCATTTGTCAGAAGCATTTCAAAATAATATTTCTTTACAAATCAATGTTCATATTATTTTTTTGTTTATTTTAAAATTTTATGTTTTAACACCTTCATAAACTTTTGATACCCTTATAGAACACACACATAATGTATTAATATTATTTACTAATAACTTGTATTGATACATTATATATAAATGGGCAAGGGAGAGAGTACCCATTAATATATAGACTTAGTTGTCCTGAACCTCACCATGTAGATGGAACTCACCTGTCTCTACTTTTTGAGTACTGGAATTAAAGCTATGTGCTATCACATCTGGTCTTTATATTATGCGTCTTAAGTTATTGCCCAATACCTGATGTATTTGTTTGGGAAATAATTCAGTAAGCACTATATGCAAAATTTCAAACACTGTTTATACCTTGGAGAGCCATTCTTTATTGTGGCTTCTCCAAATTATGTGCATACTACATAACAAACCTCATCCAAGCATTCACTACAATTTTTATGCCAACCTACAAAGTGATAAGCCCAGACTTACATTGAGAGCAATATCCCAAACCAGCAGCCAAATTTTTAAAGAAACAGACAGCTTCAAAGGTAGCTCAATGACTCTCATATTCTATGTTTGCCCCAGATATTTTAGACACAGGATTTCTTTGGTGAAAAGATCACTCACCACACATGAAAGAGTGAGTCTCTTACTTGGGGTCAATAGCATCTTCCTGCAATTAGAAGAAAGGGATGGTTTGGAAGCTTCCCTAGGGCGGGAAAGAGGGTGTGGAGATAGGATCCTGCTCATAACATCAGAGTCTATCATAACAACCTGGACCACTCGCAGAAAAAGAGGCATGTGACTGAACACTTGACTGCTGAGTGAGATTATGTTTACAATGAAAAATCCCAAGCTTCCCAAATGGCTCACCCAGTACCAGTACCAGGGCAAAAACTTCTAGGGAACAAATTTGACAGGAGGGGGGGGTGACAAAATCCATTTACTTTCTACCTCCAGTCCATGTGAACTGCTTGTTTAGAACCCGTGCTATGTATCCCTCCTTCCCATCTGGAAGGCTTCCTACTAGGAAGGAAAAAAGGAGATCCTTCTGAAACATCAAGTAACCAGACTGGTAATGGGCAATGGGAATTGAAGTCAGTTATGTAAAAACACAGATCAAAATCTGGAGGAAATAATTGATAATTTCCCCACAAATAAACACCCATAACCATAAACATATTAGTTTCTCTCTGACAGATGCCAGTGAAAGAAGTGAAACCTTAGGAAAGGAAAGAGGTAGTCAAAGGACTCTTACCCAGGCCTTGATTCTGCTGTTCCCACTCCATGGTTTCTGGCACCTGGTAGGTTGCTACCTCCAGTAGGGCCATGCTTCCTGGCTCTATATCAGGTTCCTGGGATGTGATTCCCGGGGGAGTAAACCCTGGCAGCTCAGTATCACTGTCGAAGTCCTTATACAAGGTGTCTGCTTCTTTGTCTGCCTCATCTTCTTCCTCACCCTCCTCTTCTTCATCTTCATCTTCTTCATCCTCCTCATCCTCCTCATCTTCTACCTCTGAACAAACAGAAATCAGAGGAAAACTTGAAGATATGCATTGTGCATGTACTCAAACACATTAGTGTTTTGAAGTGACACAAACCCTACAAAATAATCATGTTTACCTTTTAAAACCAATGGTTAAAGTCAACATTGGGCAGTTCCAGCTTTATGAGATGATGCGCCTTCTACAAACCTTGTGTTTTAAACTTTCAGCACCACTGTGTGACTTAAGATAACCACCATATTTATTAAGAATTAAAGTTTAGGAATTGTGGTCGTTAGTTTTTTGTCATGTGACACAAGCTAGAATCATCAGGGAAGAAAGAACCTTAATTAATTGAGATGATAGTTTGATAAGACTGACCCACAGACAGGCCTGTGGGACACATTCTTGATTCATGATTGCTGTGGGAGGCATCAACCCACTGTGTCCTGAACTATTCTTGGGCAAGCGATCCTGAGTTGTATAAAAAATCAGGCTGTGCAAACTATGAGGAACAAGCCAGTGAATAACACTCCTCCTCACCCTCTACTTCAGAATCCTATCTCCAGGCTCCTGCCTTAAATTCCTGCTTTGATTTCCTTCAAGGTAAAATGCAAAATGGACTCAGTCTCTTCAAGTTGCATTTGATCAGTAATAGAGGGCAGACTAAAACGTGAACAGTGAACTTTTATTTCCAAAGCTAGGAAACATTTATGTTTTCTGGAGGTCATAAATTGTTTATCTGTTAGAAATTACACTGACATATCAAGAACATAAAAGAATTTATTTCCACCTTTTTGCATAATATTAAAGAAGAGAAATCATTATTTGATATGCTTCTTTTTCCATCTTCTACATCAGTGAGTATAATTTAGCAGTGTCACATGAGAGGCATATGAACTTATATTGCACTCTTTCTGTGGGAGAGTAAACAAAAAATCTGGAAATCATTGAACCAATATTTTCAATACCAATGCTAAAGGAAGTTATGAAATGGGATATTCATCAAGAATGTCTATTTCCTATTGGAAAACATCACTAGCATTGTTAAGAGTTAGTTTTTACAACTGAGCCTCCTTGTTGCTTCAGGTGGAGTGAGTAAGGGACCTAAGGTACTAATGTAATTGGTTTCAGTGATTTTAATTTTCCAGTAATATTGGCTTATCCCCTCCTCAGTGTGGATAAGCCAATAAAGCCAATGACTGATGATAAAATAGACCTAAGGCTTTTCTTGTGTCTCTCCTGAGAAAAAACTCAACTGTCACTGTGGCAAGGAACTCTCCTCAGAGGGCAGAGAAGACAGGAGAACAGAAAATTAAAGCCACCCATAATCTTTTGTTGTAACTTTTTCTACTTCCAGACAGCTATATACATAACCCCTTGTCTTTTATCATTTAATGATTTTCTAGCTTGTAAAACGTATCTTCACTGGTATGCAGCTCAGTGGAAGACCAGATGCCTAGTGTGTGCAAGGTCCTGATCTCAAGTCCAAGAGCTACAAAAGATAAAAAATTTCCCTCTGTTGTCATATGAGCCTTAAGTTTGTAGGATTAAGTACATGTAACTGTTATCAAATTTTAACAAATTCTTATGAAGTATCTGATGGAAGGTGTTCCTGGGCACCAGAGATACAGGTTCTGGTTCCTAGAAACCGATCTCCCCAGCAAGAAGACATAGAACTAACATGGATACAGCAGCAGGTACAGAGACTACACTCTGACAAACACTGTCAAGAAGACATGGAGCAAGCATGGATGCAACAGTGGGTACACTCTGATGAGCACTGTCAAGAAGATGGAAAATACCAGATGCTGTTATTGCAGATGGTGAAATGCAGGAAAGCTTTTCTCATAATATAAGGATTGAGTACCAAGATAAGAAACTCTCTTGTGTAACTGAGATCAATATTTACAGGAAGAGCAGCCCCAGAAGAGGGACTAGTAATACCGAGTGTCAACGCAGGTGTGCACAGGCTGTGTTCAGAGACTAGCAAAGAGGTCAGTGAGGAATGGGGATGGGGTTAGGGGACACTAAGTATGTCAAAAAAGATAGGAGCTAATCAGACTTACAACGTTTCAAAATGACTCAGGCTACAGGCCTCAACTGAACACACAGAGAAGGAAACCCATAATGAGGGTCTTAGAACATAGGGAATGAACAATGGCACCTGAAAGTAGATCTGATGCAGATCTGCTAAGAACTGGTGATACAATTTGGAGGTAGAGCCTTGGTGATTATTATTATCTGAGGCACAAGAAAGAGGAGATACCACATCATCAATGGAATGCAAAGACAATATGGAAATTTAAGAATGTGATATGTGACATCCTAGGATGGCCAGGCCACTGACATCCACATGCAAAAGCTGCAAGTCCAAGAAAGGTCAAAATGTGGAAATTATCAACACACAGCAACAGGGACTAGGTCCTTGCTCCTTTTAGTTTGTTGTGTCTGAAATGAACCATAATAGTTGAAAGCAAAAATTGTCAGGTTTGGAAGTAACCTCAGTCCACAGAGTAGTGTTGCCTAGCTTGCATGAACTCCTGACTTCATTGCCAGCACCACATAAACCTAGTGTGGCAGTACATGCTTGTAATACCAGCACTTGGGAGTTTCAGAAGTTCAAGGTCATCATTAGCTACACAGGGAATTAGAAGTTACCATGGGCTATATGAAACCCTGTTTACTAAGGAAGAAAGGTGGGGAGAAGGAAGTGGGGAAGGATGGCAGGAGGGAGGCAGAGAGGGAGGGAGGGAGGGAGGAAGGAAGGAAGGAAGGAAGGAAGGAAGGAAGGAAGGAAGGAAGAAAAAGAATACTAAAACATTAAATAGCAGTGTCAGATAACAATGCCAGATGGCTGAACAATGCTGGTGCCATTAAGTGATATGTTCAAATAAAAAAAAAGAAATGTCTTGTTACACATGGCCTAGAGAGAGGGGGGAACAAATGTGTCTAGACAGCACCCTCTCTAAACCAATTTAGTCTGTGTGGCCTCTTTCTGACAGAATGTCTTAGCAGCAGCTCCGTAACCCATACCAGTTCTTTGTTCTACTGAGTGCTTCAGCCTCTGAGGAACTACAAGCCTTGCCAGCATTATCCCACAATTTACAATTGTTAGCTGAACATGGAAGAAATTTACAGGCTGTTTTACTTAGAGGATGCTCCCTTAATAGCCACTTTGGGTGCTCAAGTACTATCACAGCAGAGCCTGAACTGAATTTGTTCAAACCCAGCACTGCTGCCCTCTAGGTTAGAGCTTGCTTTTTCTTATTAATTACAAATATATCTCTAGTCTGTGGTCACCAAAACCAAGCTTTTTTTTTTTTCTTTTTTTCTCTTTTTTTCTTTTCTTTTCTTTTTTTTTCTCAGGACCAGACAGATGCAAATTTCACCGACCTTCTCAGAGGCAGACCCCAGCAAAGGCTGAACAAGAATCTCCAATGTGGACACTTCTATTTGTTTTTGCATGTCCAAAAGACCATCACATAATGAGCATCTCCAGGCTGTCATTAACACATCATAGGGGTGAAGAAGCCCTGAAGATGTGTCATTCCAGCACAAGGAAAGATAGCAGAACAGAAACGTGTCCTTAGCATGCCGTGCCTGCCTGACTCTGGGGAGCTCCTCGCCTAATCCTTCTGCCTCCTTAGAGCAGCCATTTTTCAAATGAATCCTCCTCACCTTTGGCCTATTTGCCCATTAGCTATGAGGCAGAGATCTCTTTTCAGTGACTTTCTCTTCCCCTTTCTCTGTTGCAAACATAGAATGTACATGAAGAAGGGAACTACCCTGAGCTGAGTTGTATTAGTCTCTGCCATGTCCCTCTGAAGAATGGGAACATCTTTTAAATAAAGAAAAGATTTTCTGTATTGGGGAGCCCTTTGCCGGTAGACATTTTTCAATCCAAAATTAAGGGACCAGCAAAGATGGCTCAATGGGTAAAAGTACTTACCACACAAACCTGATGACATGAGTTCAGTCCCTGAAACCCATGAAGGGAGGAGAGAACCGGCTCCCATAAATTGTTCTCTGACTACCATCTCCAACACACACCCTGACATGTGCATGCTCACACTCAGGTGCACACATGCATGTGCATACCCACACAGATAATCTTAATAAATTTAATAAAATTGTTCTAATTAAGAGTGATTCTCTAAAACAGTTTCCCCACACGAGAATAACTAAAGCCCTAGGAATAGTCCCATTTTTATAACCAGATGGTTCTTAAGTTGAGCGTGAAATTTTGTGTGAAACTTAAAAGCCAGACAAGGAAAACTTAAATTTGCCTAAGGATATGAAGTAGTTTTCCAGCAGATGGCGTTCTAAGAGTAGAAGATTCTGAGAAAAACTCAGACATTCCCAACTACCACCAAATCAAGGCACTAGCTCATTGAGAATTTGATGATTCTCCTAACGTTTCTGAGATCTTAAATATTCCCATCTTTATATTATTATCATGGATGAGAAGCACATATATTTGTGAATCTGTGTATTATGAAGGTTAATATAAAACTCCAATCTCAATAGCATACATATACCTATGCCCATACATACGATTACCAAGCTTCCTCATGCAATAACCCCAGAGAACTCACCATTACACTAAGAATTAGAATGAAGTTAATATTCTTGCATGAGGGCTGAAGTGATGGCAAAGAGGTTAACGGACCATAGTGTTCTTACAGAGGTCCAAGTTCAGTCCCTAGCACCCACATTAGATAACTCACAACCACCTTTAACTTCAGATCCAGAGGGATCTAGCCTCTGTAGTCAAGTTACCTATGCTCACATGCACATATTTATATACAAACACACACGTACATACACTAAAAATAAATCTTTATAATTATACACATATACATATAAACAAACAAAAATAAATCAATATTTTAAAGGGCATTAGAACACGTTCATCTTTCCTGATTTATGTCTCTTGCCATCCACTGCTTTGGCCCTGTCCTCTTCTCCTACATCACAAAGTATAAATGGTTATATTTTTTATATATGTTCATTGATTTATTTGCCCCCT